TGTAGTGGAACCTTGAAATGTTATAATTATCATAAAGATATCATTGAGTAAAATCTGTTTCTCACATGATTTCCCAACCTGATTGCTCACCTGCAACATTTTGTTAAGAAGAATTCAATTATCTTTAACAACTAATCTAATTATCTTTAGCTTATAATACAAATAAATAATAATATTAGATAATTTGTGTTAAAATGTACAATTTTTACATATAAAATAAACATTAATATTTGCTTACATGATTTTATTCATTCAATACTTAAAATTTTAAACATAATTTATGCTTTGATTTGATTGATTTTATCCAAGTTTGAACGGAACCAATAACCAAAAATCAAAGAATTTTAAAATTATAATGAATAATCTAACTTGTTATTTTAACAATCGAATTGCATCATGTTGTGATTGGTTCAGCTTTAGATTTGTGATTCCTTGGTGCATTTTGATCTCTTTAGTTCTATTGTTCTATAAATAGCGATGATTGTGATAAGTTCTATAAATACAAATCTCTTTAGTTCTATTGTTCCAAAAAAGTTCAAGGTGCTTCATCTTCCAACAAGAAGATCCAACACATCAACTAAATGTAATCGATTCGATTCTATTGTTTGGTTTTATCGAAAAAATGCTAGCTCTTACACAAATAGAGAGAGAGAAGAAAATAAGCAAAAAGATTAATCAAATCAACAAAAAAAAAATTAGTGAGAAGTGAAAGGGACTGATCATATCATCCTATCAACCAAATGCATGCTGAAGTTGCTTGACAGTTGATATAAAATGCATTGCATTCAAAATCTTGTGTTTTACAAGAAGAGCAAGGCTTCTTTGGGATGCCTTGTTTAATGTTTCTCAAAGTAATTTTTCTGCACAAAAATTTGTACTAAAAAACTATTTTAGAAAGAAGTAAACAAATCATCTTAAAATTTTGTACTAAAAAATTATTTTAAGAAGTGGTTAGAAAGCTGTCTCAAACGAAGTCTAAACCGAATTGATTATAAGTGTCAAATATGTGAAAATTTGACAAATTAAAATGACAATATTAACTGAAATTTATGTTCCAAATAATAAATATAATACAAAAAGAATAATCATTATAATTATAATTATGCATTTATGAAGGATTTATAACATATAAACTAGCAAATGATATTTTTGCAATGGTCATGTATAATTTTAATCATCTATTTCATCAATTTAAAGTTTAGTTTGAGACAGCTTTTTTATTGATTTTTAAAGCAATTTTTTTACATCAAAATTTTAATTTTTAATAAAAAAATGACTTTTTTTTTTTGCAGTAGAAATTTTCAATATTCAATATAAAAGAAACAGTAAAAAAACATGCACCAATTCATGGTTCCAATACCAAACATTCAAACTATAGCAAAGTAAAGTGATTCAAAAACAATAATACAGATCAGATTGCAAAGTTTGGGGTAACAAAATTAACAAAATCCAACAAAATTAAGGCTCAAGCATAACCTAGTAATAGTAAACTTCATGCAAATAAAGCAATAAAAAAAAGCAATCATGGCTTCTTTTACATGAAGAGATTGGGTCTGGATGCCTTGAAGGTAGTCTTGAGCTTCCTGTATGGTGGCCTAACCTTCTTGAACACAAGAGGGAACTTGATCTTTGAGTCATGGAATTGTTTGGTACTCTCCCGTTTGCAGAGCTTTGAGGGAATAGTTGCAGTCTTGATGATTTGAATGCATGGGAAGCGAACACGATGACGAGAAGCCATCTCATTGTACAAATATTCGACTGCGCCGTTTAATGTAGTGTCTCTGTACTCCTTGTACATGTTGTGGTAGCCAGTCCTGCTCTGGTAACGGAGCCAGATGCCATAGTTCTTGATCTTGGTTGGATATTTCTCAAATATCTCGTTAATAGCAAGGACTTGGCCGTTACTTTTCTTCACCTTCTTTAGTTTTCTCAGGAAGTACCAGAACTTGGATTTTGCCCTGACTTCATTAGTAGCCCATAACTTCATGCGATAAATCTTGGATGCTATCGCTTGGGTTGGAAGGGCACGACAACCACTTGGTCTATTGAATGAAACCTAAAAAATCGCCCATCTAAGATCCTCCGAGATTTCTCCAACCGCAGATTCAGCTCGCTCGAGCGGGGGGGTCGTGGTGGTTGTGGGTGTAGGGGCCTGCCCCGGTGTGTGTGTGTTGGGTCCGCGGGGGGTTGGGGGGAGGGAGTATAGGGGAGCGCGGGGAGGTGGCCGGGGGGTATTGGGTGTGGTGTGGCCTTCTGCCTTCCACGGAGGGTACTATATCTTACCCTAAAAATACCTGTTTTGTTCCTTAGAGCAAATCGAGCTTCGAGCATCAGACGGCGGCAGGGTTGAGCTAGTCGAAACGCACGTAGGAGCGGCTGGAGCCAATACAGCGAACAATGAATTGATAAAAAAAAAAAAAAAATTACTTGTCCTAAATAAAAAAAATGACTTTAAAAAGTAATAAATCATGAAATATGTTGATTGCAATCCAGTGATTATCACATGTAATGACACTTTTGCTTTGAAAGCAGGGTCCCACCCTCAAAAAAAAAAAAATTTATAAGAGTATATAAAGAAAAAATTTATAAGAGAGTAAAAAAATTTTGCCCTCCCTAAATTTTTTTTTTGCCCCTCCCTAAAAACTCTTTTATCCTATTTGCCATAAATATCTATATATTTCTCACATTTAGTTCAATTCTTTCATGCTTTTCTTGACTGTTTAATTACATTTTTTTCTTTATTTTTTCTTGCTTAAATTTTTTATTATTTGTCGTAATATATAGATATAATATATAATATTTAATTATTTTTGTGTTGTATTTACCTCCCCTCAAAATTGAAGCTCGTTCCACCCACCTGTTTGAAACGTTTGCACACTCTTGAGAAAAAAAGATAAAATAGATAAACCCAGCAGCTTAAACTAAATATGGAGCTTTTGCATAAAATAACTTATTTTTACTGTTTTATTTTTTCAACCTTGGTCCATTTGGTACACTAGGGGTATAAGTGAGTCAAGCTGATTCATGAGCCGATCGAACTTGATAAGCTAACGAATCAAATTTAAGCCAACCTTAACGTTACATCGTTAATTCCCAACTCTTGATTTAAAAAGTATTATATAGAATAGTACTTAAATACATTAGCATTAGAATTTTAAGTACTAAATTATTTAAAAAAGTTTAAAATTTATTGAACTTGCTTATAATTAAATTTTCTTTCTATAATTTCTCTTAAATTCGTATTATAACTTCTTATTATTTTTATCATTGGCAAAATTTTCAATAGGACCAAGTTTATAAAGAAAATCAGTAAAAGGAGCGTAATGAATATAATTTAAATAGAAACAAATACGTGATTTAAAAAAGTGTTTTCTTAGAAAATGGAAATCAAATTTACGTTTTCTGAAACCGTAAATTAATTTAAGTTTCCTTAAGAAAATAAAAATTTTAAATTACGTTTTTTTAATGAATGATTACGTTTTAAAAATTTAAATTAAATTATGCATAGCATTTTTAATTAATACATTAAGATTTCATTTGGGATTGTTTTCTTGCTCTTTCTTAAACTAGTTTTTTAGTAAAAAATTAATTTTTTTTTATAAAAAACTGATTTAAAAAGAAGTGAGAAAGCCGTCCCAAAGGAAGCTTAAGGCTTCGTTTGGGACAGCTTTTTATTGCTTCTTAAAGCATCTTTTTAGTATAAAATTTTAAATTTTTATATTGAAAAGCTGCTCTACGAAGCAATAAGAAAGCTGCCCCAAACAAAATCTAAATATCACAAAAGTACGTACAATTTTGTTGTTGGAATCTAGAAAACTTACTTAGAACAGAAGCAGAGGAGAACAACAAGAAGAGAACAACGCAAAGTCTGGCGATTTTCTCCATCTTATATCCCTTATGACTATGCTTTCTAACGTAATAGAAATTCCAATTCTCCTTCACATATATAAATAACATTTACAGTCCATTTATAGTCGCTGTTTGTCTTCCAAAACCATCTTCCAGCAGGACCTTCTGTTTTCACGACCTTTGTTTCTACTGCCAAAAGGCCGTTTGTTCTGTTTTTTATTTTTATTTCTATTTTTTGTTTTCTTTTATTTATATTTCAATATTAAACAAAAATATATTTGATATTTTAATTATATATTATTTAGATTGTTATTGAATGCTGCATAAGGTGGTGATGGCAGGCAGAGATGATCGCCTAAAGGCTTCATTTGGGACAACTTTTTTATTGCTTTTGTAGTCTTTAAAACGTTTATATATTTTGTACTAAGACCAAGTGTTTTAAAGAACCGTAAAGAATATTCCAAATAAAGCCTTAGTTTAATATGTAAGCATACATTTCTAATATATACCCAGCTAGCCTCTGTAATGTGTATGCAACAGGAAAATACAGTATCATTCAGCTTTCAATTCTTTTCTTACTTTGGTTTCGTTGTGTTCTTCAATCTCTTGTAATTTTACTTTCGAGTGTGAACATTGCAAGTTTTATTCATGCAAATAAAACATTTGTAACCTCATGCAGCATTTTCGACCCATAGGTGCTCACTACAGTATTTGAACAATCACTAATCTATTCACACTTTTACCGTATATTTCTAACTGATATTATAAATAAAATATAACTAAAAAATATTTTAGTAGCAGTATATCATATATATTAGGATATATATTAGGATACATCTTATATTAAAAAGAATTCATATAGAGAGAAATCTTCTTACCCACAATATACTATTTTAAGCTAGCAGTATTTTAAATTTAAAATATTAGAATTCCCTATAAGTAATTGTTGTACTTTAATTATCACTCCAATTCCATTATAAATCCTAGTCTAAAGTTTGTAGTTTTTAATAATAATGAGAAACGAATTTGATCGAATTATTCTTTTACGTTTTAATAAATTAGTCAATAAGAAATGTGAGAGAGCAGAGCTAGTCCTCATCCCTCATGAAGAGAAGTAGGGGAGAGAGATTGAGCGCAGAGAGAGCTAGGCGGCCTAGTGAAGATGGTTGCAACTTAATATAAAGTAACATCGTCAAAAAAAAAAAAAGAAAAAAAAGAGAGAGTGAGAGAGATGAAAGATGTATTGACATGTAGCAGCAGAAATAATAAAAAAGACATAGGGCAAGAGAGGGACAGAGCAAATGATCGGGTTTGTATACGGTGATAATATATTTATATTGTTGTTTATTCCTTTCCATATATGGTACGCGGTAGGTCGTATGGTCATTACTTATTATATGCCACTTGACGAGAGAGCAGAGGGGTAGACTGATATTCTATATAGATATATGTTATTAAAACGTGATGCACACTCAGTGGACGCCTTATATTTTTCCAATCTATCCCTTCCTGGAGCATTTTAGAATTAAGAGCTTCATGATATCATTTACCTCGTTTTTAGCGTTTGTGTGTTGAGCACGAGCAGTGTTATCAAGTTGTAAGTATTTCCGTGCCGGCATCCCAATTTTTAAGTATACGTTAATCCTCTCTTAAGGCATTTGATTTTAAGTTCCTTGAGCTCTGGTTCAATTCGATAGTCTTACATTTCTTGAAAAATCGACCGCCCCCAACATCTTATTGTTGAAGGGAAATTCAGAAGTCTGTTGGTCTCCCACCCATCCAATATTTAGGTTGCATCTAATGCTCCTTGAGTGCGGCCGTTGAGGAAGCTATCCACCTTGGCTGCAGAGAGAAGGACGTTGATTATTATGGTCCTTTGGTGATTGCCGAGTTCGACAATACGGACTAGTTTCTTTCTTCGATATGGAACTGAGGGCATCTATGCGTCTTATATTTTGTCCCTGGCCCACTCAGACCAAAGCTTGTAGTAGTGGGCTACTTGCTCGTAAGTAATGCTCAGGTTGCGCCTTCCCACCATAGTAAAAAAAGCATGGGTATGGACGACAGTGCAATGTACGTTGAAATGAAATGATGCACAAACTACGCCTATCACTTGCTTTCTTCTTTTTATTAGTTTTGGCTTTCTCTCTTTTTTAGCATTTTTTCTTTCTTCTTTCTCTCGTCTTTTTTTTTTGGTTTTTTTTTTTTTTGTTTTTTGAACTATCCTCTCTCTTTGTTTACTGAGCTA